GTTTTTAGTGATGTACATGTCATATAACATCAAAAAAATAACATATTATCTCAGTTTGGAAAATTTCGCGATTAGAATACTTCCCCGCCAGTAGGCGTGGGAAGTAAAAAACTGTTTACACAAACTTGATCCAGGTTACCGAGCGGCTACCTCTTGTTTCATGTTGCGGGATGTTCAGCAAACGTGATTATGAAAAAAAAGTCGAGTTGATAAATATCTCTCGTGAATGCGACACACTCTGGCAACATCGCACTACTCCCAAAAGTATAGAGAAGCAAGGGTTCAAGAACAAACCGCTAATTTTTTGTTACATCGCGTACTGAGATGACATGATAAACACTGGTCAAATCTTACGTCTCAATGCAAACTTGCCACGTTAAATGTTGCCCGGAGCGGTGTAATTAATTCAAAATTTGCTGCACTGGGATACACCACGTGCTGCGATAAAATTTTATGGCCCTTCATGTCGTACCAAAATAAGACTTCGGGAAGTTGTTACTTGGACTTGCCAGTGGGAAACGCAACCAGAGAAACAATTGCCGAGGTTTTATCAGCCAAATGAAACCACCTAGTGTCCACCATACTTATTTTTTGAATGAAGTTAATGCATGAAAACCATGCTTTAGCGTAAAAGCGGCATTTGAAAATTTTAGGATGGCGGCTATACGTCATTTTGAAACATTTATAAATCATCATCTCCCAAAATATCGCAATGACAGGCTGCCATAATTAAGCTTTTTTGGAATTGAGTCGCTTATAACTCAAACAATCATTCATTGAATCTGTATATTATTTTATAACAATCTTCTTCTTTTGGATGGGTCTATCTGAATGTGCAATAAAATATGGGACATTCAGTTTAAAAAAATTGCGTCCACCTCGCGTAATATAAATTCTGGTATTCCACAAGGAATGGTATCAGTCCCGGTACTATTTATCTTCTACACTTCCGATTTAATAAATTTGGTTGGAATATGGATTCATACACTGATGATGTTCAAATTTATGAATCGTGCAAACAAAATGCAGTAAATCCATTTGAACTGAATATGAACCTAGAAATAATTAGATAATTAGAAACTATTCAAAAAATTAATGTTTAATACTAACTTCGTCAGAAATTACAGCTTGTTGAAGTAATCATACTATTGTTGAAATTATATACGAAACTAGAAACTTGGGAATTTTATTGGATACAAATGGAACTTATAAACTTAATTGTTGCAGTTCTCAACGGTTTTCGATAATTTTCACCACATATATAACGCTAGAATTCGATCTGCTGGTAAAGTGCAAAGCACAAATAGGAAATATGTCCCTGGAAATGTTTGTAAAGCTGTTGCTGCGTTGGCCATTGGTTTTTCAGCCATTTTGATCTATATAATTCTGTCATAAGCTTGACAGAAAGATTGGGTAACGAGTCAAAGTCATAGAAGTCAGACAAAAAATCGTTACTGTATTCAGTGTTGCGCTTCACTGGAAGTTAAGAGATGAGCAAAAATAAAAATAAAAATGAGTATACCAAAACTTAACCAGATGATGAGAAAACTGTAGAAAACAAAATAGAAAATGGTTCACATACAGCCCTGGAGCAGGAAATTCATATGTTAGATGAAAAAAATCAAATTACTCAATGAACAACTGGCCGAAAAAGACCGAGTTATTTCCCAATTATCCAACGAAAATAGCAGATTTCAAGAGCATTACGATATACTAGCCAAATCGTCGCTAATAAAGCACCACCAATCAAAGAAGCAAAATCATTAAAAGGTGTAGTGTTCGTCTCTGTTGAATAAGACACACTCAATTTTAATAACTCTATATTTTCACCATAGACTAGTATTTTTTAGTACATCCTTCCACAAACATTCTTCTACCTGCAACGCCTCCCGTAACCGTCATGGCTTCTTCCGGCCAGTAAGAGGACATCCAGAACCGTTGATGACAGAGCAGCTTCAGTGCCACCTGACATTTCGAGAACATAATAAACTAAAGGAGACCACGCACTACAATAACTTTTCGGCTCATATAGTACAAATAGCATAATTATTACGCAAAACCAACGACAATCGAATAATTAAACCAGAAACGATCTAAATAAAAATGTAAACTTTTCAAAATTCAAAATCAACATAGACAAAGTGAAGAACTGCAAAAATGGAGCTATAGAAATAAATTGTACAATATTCTGTTCATACCCAACTTAAAGAAGAAATCCAGAGAAATATGCCATCATCTTACAAGATCTCAGAGCCTAGAATATGCAAACCTAGGATTGAGATATTGGATATCGCTTGGAGGATTTTTGATAGTAACAATGGAAAAATTTTGCTGGTATTTCAAAATATTTGTGTTTATGATAATAATGACGTATCCCAATTCAAAAATTGAAATTCAAACAATCTACTAAAAAGTGTCAAAATCGTATCGCTCTAAATGTGGGGAAACCTATGATCTCTCTCTCTTTCTCTCTATCTCTCTCTCGTTTCTGAAACATGGTTCAATAAGAATATGCTTGATAGTCTGTTGTGTATTTTATCGACAAGATAGAGTCGTGGTGGAGGTGTGAGCATTTACTTGAGAGGTAATTTGGTTTGAGAAGAAATACAAATCGAAAATCATATTGGCTACTTTTCCAGTGTTGAGAAGCTATAGATTAAAGTGAAAATATCTGGTATACCGTCTACCGTCCTCCCCACAATACTATTAATGGTACTATTGATTTTTTGACAGTTCTCTATATTTTCTGATTCCCAGCTTTGATTACATTGTTGTCGGAAATTTGAAGGTAAATCTTTTAAATCCATACAAAAGATTGGATTTTATTTTTAAAAGTGACTCTCATGTCTGCTCAAATTCTGGAACTATTATGTTGTAGACCAAAAAGTTGAAGCAAAAATATGATACATATAGAGATTATAGAAATGTTTCAAATTTCCTCTGGGACATTTAATATTCTCTGGATGACATTGATCACTAAATTTTATATTCAACCGATGCGCTAAAATCATATCGATATGACTGATTTAAAATCGGTATTCCTATTTTTGCCTCAGGAAGCGATGGCGAATCTCTGAGGATGCTGAAACTGTGCTTTCCTGTAATTTCATACTATACCTTGCATATCGTCAACACATGTTTATCAAAGGCAGTAATTTCCAGAATCACGATTAAACAAATCAGTATTTTACCCATATGCAAATTACTAGAAAAAGCAATGTAGAGGTTGGGCGAATAAGAATGCGAAGTACTGTATCTGGCAACCTATCCATCGCAGAAGCTTGCGGCAAAAAGAGCTCTTACTAAAACGACCAAGAGAAAAACCTGGAAAATATTTTCAAGTTTCTGAAATGGCCGCACTCTTGAATCTAAAAAAGTGATGTTTCTGTGAATTCCGCTATATTAACCTGATCTTAAAAGTCTAGGATAATGTGAACTTATTTGTTTGACAATTTTTGCTGTATCTCTAAAAATAAAGTGGTGGGAGGTATTCAAAGGTTTCCGTAAAAATACACTGATTCTTCGAAACGGCTGAGTCGATTTTAACTTACTTGGGCTAGTTGAAAAGAGCTACTCTTGGGCTACAAATGTTATAATATTTGATGTTTTGTTAGTTTCACATGTGGCCGCTAGAGAGCTTTTTTCGACATTCCGACAGAAATGGCTAATTTTCTCAAAAGAATTGAATTTATTGGTATGATTTTTTTTTTAAAAGTAGCTAAACTTTGTCTAAATAAACTCGCTAAAACCGCATCTCGATATTTTCTTCCTAACCTAAAATTTAGGCCAAAGAAAATTTTATAATTAATAAATACTAGACGCAAATTAATATATTTATTTTTTAAAACAAAGTCTTAGTTATAATTATGAACATAGCCTCTCTTCAGAAAGGACAACACATAAATAATTCATCTGCCACAGCTAATAGATATCCTTCATGGTCAACATGAGCAGCAATAATTTTCTCATATAGCAAATATTACTGATTTTATAAACAAGCAAACCAATACACCCAATCATCCAGATGCGATCTTTCTACTCAAGCAGTTTTTTTTTTACATCTTCTCAGAGATAAATGCTCTACAGACTATCTCGACATTCTGCAACCAATAAAGCACGCTAGCTTGTCCTTGTCATTCCTCGATAGGTAACGCTCACGCTATTTGTATACTAGCAGCTATCTAGTCATCAAATTAACATTTTGCGGTTTTTTTACGTTATATAGTTTTTTTACGTAATAACCCTACCGTTTAAAAAATAAGTTAATGGGATCTTTTTGAGAAGCACTGTTTGGGGGTTTCATTTGGCTGATAGAATCCCGGCAAAGTTTTTTTGAGGTTGCATTTTCCACTGGCAACTCCGTGCCACTTGCTGTTGGAAAGCGTAAACAACCACTTCCCAAAGTTTTACATTGGTACGCGTTGAATGTCTATGAAACTTAAGCGCGGTACGCAGGTGAATTTAAATGCATGGTAGGCTGATAATGTGTAAACTTCCCATGCGTGAGTGAAGTTTACCAATCCGTCACTTTTGTTCAATGTCCCTCAACATGAAACAAGAGGCAGCCGCTCGGTAACCTGAATCGAATTTACTAATCATTTTTTATCAAATTTCGGGGAAATGTTTTTAACCGCGACATATTCTTTTCAGTTTTTTTATAATTCTGAATAAAAGGCCTCTAGCAACTTTTCTCTAAAATTGACCGTTTTCGAGTTATACGTGATTAAGGGCCGTATCGTCAGTCGTTCCTACAATTGAAGGGTATGCCGGAACAACGTTCTAACCGACAGTTTGGTCAAAAGTGGGATTTCTATAAAACAAGGATCTATGTATCCATTCGCATAACCTCCCCCTCTTTCAAGCTGAGAATCACAAATTTAATCGGTGTCCAGACGTCTAAATGATCTTGATATCCACGTAACAACGTTGTATGTGCACGCGCCGACAGGTCTCAGCAAGTTTGTTTTCGAAACTACCACAGCCCACGTGGTTTCTCCAAGATGAAAGTTAGTTTATCAGAGTCTATTATTAGTCATATGAACAGAGGTAAAAAACGAAAGCTAAAAATTGACACCTGGAAGCAGACTTTAAGAAAACATCAGAGGGATGCAGGAGAAGCATACATTTCATCGAGAAACGTACCTAAGGCTGCGTTAAGCCAGCCAGAAGAGGTAAGATTTATTAACACTTAAAAGTGTCCACAGGCGATGCACATTATTATCCAATTTTTCATAGTGTACAAAAAATGTTGACCGTTTTTTATGTAAGGTGTTTAATACACAATATGCAGCGTGGTCCCGAAATTTCACTTATGGCTTGGCATCCTGACAGTATGGGATATCGTGCAATGTGTGCATTTTTTTTTTAGGAACGTGTCTGCAAATGTCCTCAAACCCCCAGAGGATGTAACGCCGATTTGCTCATTGGAAGACATGTGAGTCTGTTCCAGAAATTTAGGAAGCTTCATTATGATGGTCAGTCGCAATATCTGTCGCAAATCATATCCCTCCAAGAACCAAAACGTAGGAGAGTTGAGGAAAATATATCTCGTAGACATTGCACTGTAAAGTACAGTATTAATGGCACTCAAGTATGTAGAGGAACAGTTTGTTATATATTCTCAATTACGCCTAGAAGATTACAGTGGCTTATTGGTAAACTTAAAGCGAACATGAATAACCTTCAAGATCAACGTGGAAAGCATCTCAATCGTCCTAAAAAGTTGAAAAACATGGACGTAGGTCTCATTTCCGATCACATCCGATCGTTTCCCCTACAGGAAAATCATTACAGCAGAAATACTTCAGCCAAACAATGCCTTCCAGCTGATCTAAATATCTCAAAAATCTTCAGACTTTTTAAGGAGAAATACCCCGATGCAAATAATATTTCCTTTAGGGTTTATCACGACATTTTCAAGAGCAAGTTCAATCTGCGATTTGGTCTACCAAGATCTGACACATGTTCGTTTTGTGACAAGCTGTTTATGAAACTTTGTTCAACTGATGACGCTAATGAAAAGAAAAAAATAGAAATCGAGAGTGAGATCCACCATAGAAAAGCTGAAGCGGGTTATAAAACATTGAAAGATGATACCGAGACCTCTAAACTCAATCCAAATTATGTTGTGTTGTGCACAGATCTGCAACAAGTGCTTTTTTGTCCCAATTTAACACATTCATCTGTATTCTATCAAAGGCAATTCTCAACATATAACTATGCTGTTCATAATATGGGGGAGGAAAATGCAACAATGTTACTATGGCATGAAGCAATGGCACATCGGGGATCTACAGAGATTGCTTCAGCACTACTATTCTATATTACTAACAAGTATAGTCGTCTCAAAGCAGGTGTAGAAAGAAAACTAGTTGTATGGTCAGACAGGTGTGTGGGCCAGAACAATAACTGGAAAATGCTGACAATGCTGCGACTTCTAGTTTTAGAAAAGTTCTTTACGCAAGTCGAACAAAAATTTCTTACGAGCGGGCATAGCTTTTTGCCGTGTGATCGAGACTTTTCTCTCATAGAAACGACAAAAAAAAATCTCTAAAGTATTTGTTCCCTCATAGTGGGCTGATGTTGTCGCTAAGTCGAAGGTATCCAATCCATTTAAAGTGATCTTCATGCATCAATCTTTTTTTAAGGATTTTCAGGCAGCGGAAAATGTTATATATAAAGATCCATCATTTAAAATCACCCAAGTAATGTGGTTGCAAATGACCGCAGATGATGTGAATACTTTACGAGTAAGAAAGTCTCACAACACACTTCAACCATGGTTTACTTACTTGTTGAAGTCACGCAAGAAATTAGTACAAGAAGTAGCGATAAGAGACCTTAAAGAGGCATATAATGAAGCACTTTCGATCAAAAAGGAAAAAAAGGCAAACCTGATGGATATGTGTGACTATATCCCCTTAAAATATGTTAGTTTTTACGAAAACCTGAAAGTTGTTTAAAACCATCAAAATGTTATCCATTTTTATTATGTTTCTTGTAGCACCAACTATGTTGGTTCACTGTATTACAATAAAAAAAAAATTTGACCCATTAAGCGTAAAACAAGGTCGTAAACGACTCGTTTCCGTGTAAAAACGTTGTAAGTGACGTGTATATATAACGTTGTTTTAGGGAATTTATTTTCTAAGGCTCTTAATTTGTTTAACATGGTTTATAAAAAGATGTTGTGTTTCTCAAATATATTAAAATATCGATTAGTAAATAGCCTGTCTGTTTTCTTTTTTTAATTTTGGAGTAAAACATAGAAAAGCGTTTTTTTCGTTTTTCTCAAAACTAAACTTTTGGCGGTTAGAACGTTGTTCCGGCATACCCTTCAATTGTAGGACGCTTTTATAGCCTACTTGATTTTCATGGTTTTCTATTGTTCCGGGTCAGCGCTCTATTTTGAGGTTATGTTACAAATATCCATTTGCATCAAATTGTTCAAGATTTTGATTTATATCATCTGTTATACAGCATGAAATTTCCTTCGATTCAAAACGAAAACATAGCCTCACAATAAGAGAGCGCTAACGCTGACACGGAATAGTAGAACTCTAGAAATATCCAGGCTGAAGGATAGAAAAAACCATGAAAATAATGTAGGCCATAAAGGCGTCCTACAATTGTAGGAAAGACTGACGATACGGCCCTGTCTAGAAAGCCATAAAAATGGGTATGTTCAATGGTTGAAAGCTCAATCAAAAACTGTAATTTTTAGGTTGATAGGCATCTTAAATTAAAGTTAAAACCTTGTTCTACAATACCCAGAAGAGTATTTTAAGATTAGTTTAATGCGATTTGTACGTTAGTTTGTTGGCCAAAATTGGTGAGCTTTTGATTTTCGCAGACTGTGTGTTTTCGGGGCGTAAAATAATAATTGTTGAACTACGACTCTCTCTATGACTAATTTTTCGGAAGTTCGTAAGTACGTCACTAGTCTCTAATGAATTCTATGCGGTCGTTTCAACAAAAACATACAGGTTGCCCCAACCGTGTGAGGACGGAAATTGCTCCTAAATGAAAACTATTCATGAATGATTGTATATGGTATCTAGAGGGATATTTCTAAAATATTCATAATTATTCAGAATGTCCCTATTTTGACCCACATTTCAAGGTTGATTTATTTAATGGAATACTCTACTTTTCATTACATATACGGGTAACCCTTTTAAAAGGAGGTTGATATAACATACTTACGGGTTTTGATAATTATTTGTTGAGCAGTTGGGTATTTACTTGAGGTAGTGAATTTTGTGCCAAAAATACTTTGTAATACTCAATTTTAGTCTAATTCATACATTTTTCGAATTATCAATACAGGGCTGTTCAAAAATGCAAAATGTGTAAGCTTGTTACCAGTTTGTTGAAACGGTCATTGCGTTATACCTAGTTGTTTCAAATAATTGGATATGTCTCTATTCAAACATGTCCATCTTCCATGTAAACAAAAAACAAGTAAAGAATTGTTGATAATCTGTTTATAAAATCAGGTTGTCATCAAGAAACCAAGTAATGCAATGCTGTTATGTTGTTATTCATTATTGCATATTGATATAATATGAAATTTATGTTTTGAGATGTTTGAAAATGGCGCCTATAAGCCAACATCTGAAATTTAAAATATTTGTACTAGTATAGAAAATGTCCCTTTGATACTGAACACACAATCGAAGACTTCGAATGTAGAGGATATGAAGCAGAAAATGTAAGAGGCGTTTCTAAATATCGGTGAACACGGGCTATGAAGTGTGAAACAAACATACATTCGAAGTCTCCAACATCAAGGAGGCATATTTGAATATTTTCTATAGTGATGAAGCCAATAAGTAGAAACGTACATCGCTCGGGTCACCAATCCTTCTATTTCTGCCCCCTTTCTTTTATTGCGGACATGCTCACGATTGTCCTTTGTTTTTCATCTAAGTTTCCGCAGAGCGACTTTTCTTTCTTTGTATTTTCTATAGTAGTACAAACAATTTAACTTTTAGTTATCATTTTCAGATAACTAAAAATTAAGTCTGTAATAATGAATTACAACACAAAATTATCGAATGCCTTGATTTTCTGATGAAGGCCTTATTTTGTAGACATTGTTTTTTATTTACATGGATGATGGACTTGAATAGTGGAATATCCAATTATTTGAAACAACAAACAAAGGTATAATACAATGATCGGTGAGCCTATAACAACGTTATATCAAAAGAGCTTACGGAAATAGTAATTGTGCAAAATATACAGGGTGTTTAATTTATTTTTTCTGCGAAAAAGTACATTTTACGTTTTTGACCACCCCGTATTGATTAATCATAGAATTTGAAAAATGGACAAATTAGGCTAAATCTGAGTATTATAAAATATTTTTGACATAACATTCACTATCAAGATAGCAGGTACGACTATTAAACTTTGATGTTTTATTAGATAAAACACCCAATAGCTCAACAACTAATTATCAAAACGCATAAGTATGTTATATCAAACTCTTTCTATTAAAAGGGTCTATCCGAGTGTTCTATAAAATGTGGGGCATTCCATTCAAAAAAACAACTTTGATATAATATAAAATTGGGACACCCTGTATAATTGTGAATATTTTAAAAACATGCCTTCAGATACCCTATATAATAATCTATCAAGAGTCTTCTTTAAATAGTCTTTGTTTAGGAGCAATATCCCGCCCTCGCACAGCTGGGACAGAGGGGGTGGGAATGAAAATCAATTGAGCCAAAAAATGGACTGGAAGAATCCACATATCATTAATCTCTGTTCTATTCTTAGCTAATACATTTTAGTGTGATGCACTATTTTTGTTCTGTATGTGTATGTATTAGGGGTGTCAATCCCGGGATCCCGGAAGAAAACCTGTCTCGAAAATCTCAGGATTGACTAATAATTTCAATATTAGACCCAAAATATTTCTGTCATCAAATCTGAATTAGAGCAACTGTTAACTAGAGACTTGAAAATGAAAATAAATTAATGAATGATTGTCAAATTGGTAGTGACGAAGACTATGTTCCAATTACGGAAATTATCAAAGCACATGAAAATGAACAGTTGGATATCAAGCTTCAAAGAGCAATAGTTACACATTCAGAATCAAAGCAGAAGAAGATCAAAGGATTATCTGGCATACTTAGCCAAGAAATTGATCTTTTTTAAACGGCGGAAATCGTGGCAACTTGCTTCAAAAAACATACGATTATCTGTCAACAATTCAGCTCACTAGTGTAGAGTCCGAGAGATGCTTTTCTTCTGCAGGATATATAATGTAATAAAATGCGATCAAGTCTCAAAGACGAAACTTTAAATACAGTCATACTTTTGCGATCGTATTTTAACAACTTATAATTGAATTTTCATTCCAAGTTCTGAAGAATGTTTTTTAGTTCATGTTTATTACTAAAAAAGATCAAATAATGTTAATTTTTATATATTATATTTATTTATCACAAAAGTCTCACTCACTTAACCCTTTATTATGGCACTTGTATCTATAGTCATCGTCTGTAGTATTTATGCTTTGTTAAGTTCTTTCAATGTTTTTAGTTAATTTCTGTTTTTGTTGATAAATAAAAGTTTAATTTTAAAATTTTTTTTTCTTGATTGGTCCCGGGATAGACATACCGAGCCTCGAAAATCCCGGGATTACGAAAACCATTCGGGATTGACTCCCTTAGTATGTATATTTATATTATATACCTAAAAATCATTATCTTTTGAAGTGGCGAACATTTTTTAAAGAAATAAAAAAATAAATCTGGCGGTTTTTATAATGGCGTAGTTGTAGTTAATAGTGCTATTAACAAAAATCCTCAGACTAATCTGAAGCATTTGACGTATTGAAAATATATCAGTTGAAATGCTAAAATATTCTTTTCTCTATATCTTGAAACTTGAATCTGTACCGATAGAAGGAAATGTTTCACAGACACATGACCCTCCAAACTGGGCAGTCCGTACTCTACTACAGCATGTTGTGGGTTTCGTGAACGATATATTTTTTTTCATTTTTTACGTTTTTGTCATAACGCATACTGGCCGGTTCACCGACATTGCATAACTATCACAAACGTACAGACTGGCCCAAATTTACATGAATGGAGTATTGCTCTGAGACATAAACCTTTTCAAAAACTGTTCGGTATTATTTTACTCCGTCCCAATGAGAATACATTTTAAAACAGTTCAATGGGGTCCATCATTGAGCTGAATATCAAAGCTGTTTCTTTATACACATCCATATTTTTTATTATACATTTAAATAGAGCTCAATACTGATGCGTTTTGTCGTGTTTTCTGGGATATCTGTAAATTTTTTAATAGAGTAAAAAGGTTAACTTTTTTAAAGCATCCGTATATTCTTATCGCGTAAATACATTTCATTAGGTAACTAAAAAGAAACTTCAAATAGTGGTGGGTTACTAGTTGACTCGAATAATTCAAGAAATAGAGGAATTAGCTAGAAACTGAAGATATCAGATAATCTTCTTACAGAAAATTCAGAGGTTGCTGTGCCGGTTACCGTATTTTCTTTTTTTACTGGATCTATCCTAGTATGTGTTTTACTAAAATGTTAGGTATATGTGCATCTATGAAAAAAGCATTTTTGCTGTCCATTATTATTAGTCGAATAAGACAGTCCTGAATTTTTTTTTAATGTATTCTCTGAGGGTCGGTGCAGAATGGCCCTGAACAATTTTGGATAGATGCCATTTAATAAGTATAATTTCTAAAATTTCGCACATTTTTGAATGGTTATATTTTCAAAACGTATTAATATGCCAAAAACGCCGTTTATTATTTTTCCTCACAGCCCGTTAGAATGGACTGTGAATTATTATTATTTGAGTTTTCAGGGAGACTGAAGAAAGGGATTTAGTTGAGGTGAAGAGGTTGCCACTCAATGAACGTTGTTACTCAAACAATGAAGAAGTGCCTGTATCAAAGTGGAAGCGAAAAGTTAAACGGTGTTGTCAAAATTGTTAGCTCGTAGAACTATCAGATCTAAAGCCAATTGTTGGGAGGTGCAATGCCTATGAAACCTATGTGCACCCGTTTTATCTGTGATTTTATTTAGAACTAATAATTTGTACATACAGATGTAGAGTATTGTAGTATTTCTAATTGGTACAAAGTTATTACTAGAAGTTCATCTGTAATTAATCTTAATTAAAATTTCTAGAACCATGAAAACACGTCAGACGTTTTAATCGTAATTTTGGAGTACTCAAATTATAAATCATTTCGTTTCATAAATATTTTGACTATATTGTCTTAAGACATTTAAAAACGATAATCTAATTTTCAAATATTTCTTAAAAAAAGGTTTTTTATTTATGTTTGGGTGAAGAATCAAGTTTTGTTGAATGTGGCGTTTTTTAAGACTACTAGATGGTTTTAAGAAATGTAAAAAAATACCCTTCCAACATTTACACAAAAGTTTGTGCCAATATTGTGATAAAATAAGTTCCAGCACAACATTTTACATATCCTGTCTGAATGCGTTACTGTTCCCCTGATATACAGGGTGTCCCAATATTCCGTAGACATGGAGTATCACGTATTTTTAGACTCAAAATAAGTCGATTGGACATAATGCACCTCTATGCAAAAGTGCTTCGTTCATCCGTTAGAGGGCATCAGTTTTGTTTTTAAGACACATATTTTCATATATTTTTTGAACTGATGGTCCGATTTGAATGCAATTTGGAACACGTGTCTTGCCAGACATCCTAATATTTGACTTTTACAAAAAAAAACGAAATCGTTCGAGAAGCGAACTACCCCTACATGAATTAAAGCAGAATTTTTTCCCAACTCTCCTCACGACTCTTATTTTTTTATTTATAAGTTCTTAGAATATCTTAAAAAATGTCTTTTAAAAAGAAAACGCACCAACGAAGCACTTTTGCATAGAGGTAAATCATGTCCAATCGACATATTTTTAGTCTAAAAATACGTGGTACTTCTTTGTCCATGGAATATTGGAACTCCCAGTATAGGTAGGATTTTACCAGATGACAATCTGTGACATTGTCAGTTTCTATCCAGATATGATAAAAAAATGTACTCCTACTACCCATCGAGATAGTATCCACACAGGTGCTATATTAGAATATCCTTTGACTATACAGACTTGTCAGGGTATGGAGCTAAGGATGGCACATTCGTATCATATTGACACAGGTCGGGCTCTGTAGGAGGTCTCTTGTCCCAGAATAACACAATTTTATATATATATATATATATATACAGGGTGCGGCAGATAGGACGGACGTTTTTGGGATGGGTAGTACTCTCCGCCTCCGTCTACGAGAGAGGTGGGGAGGGTGCCGTTTGACTCGTGAGATCCTAGCATTATTTTACCAGTTGTCGTTATGGAGCCTTGTACGGTGGAGCACCGCGTTTTCGCCTATGATTGTTTCGTCCGAAATAATGAGTCAGTCATCGTCGTACAGCGTGAGTTTCGTCGACACTTCAACATTCATCGGAATAGAGCTGTTTCCTCTCAAAACAACGTCCTTCGTTGGGTTGAATCACTTCGCAGACGTGGTGAACTGATCAACAGAAGACCAAGAGGGAGCGCCGCGAACACTTCGAACTCGTGAAAATGTTGAACGCGTTCGACAGTTCTTTCTTCGCAGTCCGACTCGATCTGCCCGGAAACATGCTGCTGCACCTCGCCTTAGTGATCGTTCGGTAAGGCGAATTTTGCATATGGATCTCCGCTTTCACCCCTACAAATTGGCCATTGCGCAACAGTTACAGCCCGGAGATTATGCACAACGAATGAAGTTCGCACGTGAGATGGAAGCACTGATCGATCAAAATGAGAACCTCATTTTGTTTATAATAAGCCCACTTTCACCTAAACAGCATGGTTAACCAGCAGAATTGTCGTAATTGGGCTAATGAAAATCCGCAACAGTTACACGAAATACCGCTGCACAGCCCAAAAGTAACGGTTTGGTGCGCTGTATCGCAAACTTGCATCATTGGCCCTTACTTCTTCGAAGACGGAAATGGTCGTGATGTTACCGTGAACTCGGAGCGCTACGTCGACATGATCACCAACTGCTTTCTCCCTGAATTACGACGGCGACGTGTTCCAATCCGACGTGAGTGGTTCCAGCAGGATGGGGCGACCGCCCACACAGCCCGAGCATTCATGGACGTTATTCGCCCTCTCGTCCCTGGTCGCCTTATTTCCAGGTTTGGCGATGTTCATTGGCCTGTTCGGTCCCCAGATTTATCCATATGCGATTTTTTCTTATGGGGACACCTCAAAGCGAACAAGCCCCGAACTCTGGAAGAAAGGGCGAAATTCGCCTGGAAGTCGCCCAAGTTGAGAAAGCGATGTTGGAGAGAGTCTACGCTAACTTCCAAGAACGCCTCCAGCACTGCATCAACGGTTTCGGCCACCACATGCCTGATGTGATTTCCCACACTTGACTGTCTCAAATGCTATTTCCTTGTGAACCTGATTCTATCAATAAATTTGTTTTCGAGTAAAAGTTAACTATTTTATGATTTTTTTTAAATCGTCCATCCTCTCTGCCGCACACTGTATATATATATATATATATATATATATATATGACCATTTCCTATATATATATATGAGGTGAGCAGTAGTTATTGCCAAAGCCAACGACCAGTTGGGCACAAAATACAATTAATTGTTAATTGGGAAATTGGCAAATTTTTAGGCTTATGTTGACTCTTTTGACGATAAAATCAAGCTTTCGGCATTATCTATGAAGCCTTCATCAGGATTCTGAAAACACAATTGTGATGCTAGCAAAAACAGGACAGATTTAAATTTTCAAACAACTTACTCGTCGTTGAGGTTGCAGCCACAATGTGTTTCAAAACGAAAGTAGAGAAGATATAACTTGTAATAAGTATAAAAACAAAAGGACTGGGCTTGTTGATATACATGAAATGATCCTGCGGAGAAAGGTCTATAACAAAAAATAGGAAAATAATGGGCAAAATTCGCAAAAAGAAGGAAAGTAGATTCGAGCTGAAAATAGGATAGGTAACCCGAGCAATACATATTTCTGCTTGTTGGCTTCATCAGGCCCGAAATGAATGCACATATGCAACCACAAAAGTAGATACACATGCACATACATCCGGATACGGGTGTAACCTGAGGAAACGATGGAGAGGGAAAAAAGCTAACACACGAAGTCCCCAACAAGAGCCAACCTACACATAGTAGTATAAAATGGCTAGAAGACCTCGAATTTGCAAGGCGACATCTAACCACAACCACGCGGCCTGTTATAGCCACTTGCTGTGGTACTTCAAGCCCAAAGGATCTACAAAGAGAAAATTATCATGCGGCGAAAGGAATATAACCAAAAATAGGAATATAATGGTCAAAATCCGCAAAAGAAGCAAAGTGGATTCGAGCAGAAAATAGGATAGGTAACCCGAGCAATACGTATTTCTGCTTGTTGGCTTCATCAGGCCCGAAATGAATGCACATATGCAACCACAAAAGTAGATACACATACATCCGGATACGGGTGTAACCTGAATAAACGAAGATGGAGAGGGAAAAAAAGCTGACACGCGAAGTCCCCAACACATTGTAGTATAAAATGGCTAGAAGACCTGTAATTTTCAAGACGACATCTAACCACAACCAGGCGGCCGGTAATAGCCACTTGCTGTGGTACTTCAAGCCCAAAGGATCTACAAAGAGAAAATGATCATGCGGAGAAAGGTATATAACAAAGAATAGGATAATAAGGGGCAAAATCCGAAAAAAGAAGGAAAGTGGATTCGAGCAGATAATAGGATAGGTAGGAGCAATTCGTATTTCTGCTTGTTGGCTTCATCAGACTCGAAATGAATGCACATATGAAACGACACATGCCCATACATCCGGATACGGGTGGAACCTGGCACGAATCCACTTTCCTTCTTTTTGCGGATTTTGCCCAGTATTTTCCTATTTTTTGTTATATACCTTTCTCCGCATGATCATTTTCTCTTTGTAGATCCTTTGGGTTTGAAGTACCACAGCAAGTGGCTATAGCCGGCCGCGTGGTTGTGGTTAGATGTCGCCTTGAAAATTCGAGGTCTCCTACCCATTGTACACTGTGTAGGTTGGCTCTTGTTGTGGACATTTTTTTCCTCTCCATCTTCTTTTCCTCAGGTTACACCCGTATGGCGAAGGAGATAATATATACATCTGAATATACAAATGTCAACCAACTGCATCAGAAAATTGATGGAGCAAAAATAAAAATTATGGAAAACGCAAATTCATTTCAAAGACTAAACTACAATTTTATTAGAAGGTATCGGTTATGTATAGAATATAATGGAGGCCATTTCGAACATGTTCTTAAAGTTAAGTAAATCAAATTATCTTTCACATTTGTCGGTAAATCGCCATAAAGAGCGGCTAAACACAATAGGTTCTGTACTTGTAGGTGGTAAGGATTCTATTGCGTTTCTTTCATTTATCGCATCACAACAATGAATGTAACATGATACACTCATCGTAGCCGGCTGAAATTTTCAGAGTTCATTCTACATGGATTGAAATAGTTTTTGCAATAAAATGAATACTGAAACACAACCTCAATTTTTTTACCGCCCTCCAAAGTTGAGGATAGAAGACATTTTTCACAAAAAAATGAATTTAAGATTTTTGGCGTTGATTTCTAATAAGCTCTGTTAAAAAGTGACATAATCATTGCTAAAACTAACCATTTAGCTCATGTCAGAGACAAATCTAAAACCTAATGGTTTAGTTGTAATTGCGATTGAAAGTTCATTATCCCGTTTTTTTCGAAATTTCACAAAATTGCAGATATCTCCTGAACTATAAAATTTCAAACCACACATATAGGGGTCCATTCGATAGGTTTTGAAGGCCGTCTATCACCTGAATTACCTGACTTCCGTTCATCCACTACTAACTTTACACCCTGAATACATATATGTCGAGTATGAAGTGGCATCCGCCCATGCTAAAATGCAGGTTCAAGTGACATCCATATATCGGATGCCATTTTAAAAAGGCTTGTTCAGTGGCATATTATGATTGTACGAGTTCGAAAAACAAAAAATTAGAAGGGGGTTAATTGAATTAATTGGCACCGAAATTAGATGTTCAATGTGTATTTTAGTGCTAGGTGGCGGTGGGCTAGGACGGGGTATATTCATACTATACTATACTTCCCGCGGCTAAGGTGGAATCCACAAACACTGGCAAC